TCCTCTAAAGTCTTGTGTCTGAGGAGTCTAAGGGTGACTACCGGGGGAAGAGAGTGTGCAGACATATTGGAATGAGTTTTGACACGTGGCTGCCATGTCCACACATGCAAGGGAGGCCTTTCATGGCGTGGGTTAAGCAAGGATGGGAAGAGAAGGGATTGGGCAGAAGTCCCCATTCATAATCTACAAATTTTAGAGATAGGTCTTCCTTATGTGACAGCCAACCATATTGGTTGCCGGTGCCCCCCGCAGGGAACCAGACCCCAGGAGTGATAAGAACCCGTAACATTAACTCACTCTGCCTACAGGTTGCCCTGGCAACCAAGTCATGACTGCTGGTTGCCAAGATAACAAAAACTCGGTGCTAAGGGTGGATTCTAGGATCTCCTCAGGGTCCTAGGGTCCTAGTGTCCTAGGTATTATGGTACTAGGATCCCCACCAAGTTAGGGAAAAAGGTGGATGAAGCCCTTTCCTTGCAATGGCAGACTATAATGCAGTGGCTCCAATAACGAATGCTGCTCTGCCACCCACCTGCTCCCCAAACCCAGGCTCACCTCTCTCTTATGGCTATATAAATAAGTATGTTTTGGAGAATTCTTGTAAGATTCAGAAATCATGGCTGCAATAGGCCTAACAGTACACAATAGTCCCTCATTTTGGTTATGTATTGCTGTATAACAGTGATTTGAAACAATTATTATTTATTTTATTAATTCTCATAATTTTAGGGGTCAGAAATTTGGGGAGATCTCAACTAGTGGTGGTTTTGTTCAATTGGGCATCAGTGAGGGGAACTACTCAAGCACATTCAGCTAGCATCTGAGCCTAAAACAAGAGGGCTTAACTCACGTGAGTGGTGCCTTGGACTCTTCCCCCCTGGCTTCTACACATGGTATCTCCAATGCTAGGGTTTGTCACAGCATGGTGGTCAAATCCTTCCATGCCAGCTGGATTACCCCCAAATTTACTAGGTCTGCTTAAAGGCAAGACCTGGAATGGGCACAGTGTTACTTCTGCTGTCGTCTGTTGGCTAAAGCTGGTCAGAAGGGAGGGAGGCAGACTCTACTTCTGGGTGAAGAGTGCCACACACATACAGGGATGGGAAGGAATGGAGAATGACTGTCTTTGAAGTTCCCCCAGTGCCCTCAAGTCCCTACTTGGTTCTACATTTGTGTCTGCTCTCCCTGTATTTCCCTTTTTCCTTTTCAGGAAAGTAGCCATAATTTTAGGCCCCCCTCAATGCAAGGATAAGGCAGATGTGTGTGTCAAGACCAATAGGGACCTGCTGTCATCCTCACTGCAATACAATGGGGAGGTGAGATAACCTCTGAGTGGGGATGGTGACCCAAAGATTGAGCTAAAGACTAGACCAAATGCCTCCAGGGCTCCTAGCATTTCCAGGCCCAGCTGGGAAGGAGAAAAGTCGCCACCATCTCAGATTCCCTGCCAGCTGGGACAGAGTATGTGTCAGTGACAGTCATGATAAACTGAAGAGGAGGGGGCCTCCCTCATGTTACCCATACTGCTTCAGCCTCCCTTCCGATACTTAAGAGATTCTAAGAAGCAGAAGGCACTCCAATAATGACTCAGGTTGAAAAAAAGCAATAGGGTTCAGAATGGGATTTGAATTAATTTAAAGAAAATGTGACATTTCTTACACAACCAAGATTCATGTATATTACACTGTTGCTAGACCATTAAACCCCAGGATTATCAAAGTGATTATCAAACTGATACTAGTGTCAGTTGAAGACTCAGGAAGCTCACATCCAACTATTTTCCTCAGCCACAGGAGCGAGCATCTTGTCCAGCTTGGGAGCCCTTTTCTGTTTCAGAGCATAGAATCCAAGACTGGTCCATCTCCTGGCCTCACTCCTCTCACATCCCACGATCCATGCACCTATCTGGTGGCAATGAACTCCACCCTTTAGAAGGGCCCAGTAGATCCTGCTCTATTGACACTAGAGAAAGTGATAGCTGGTCACCAGTGGGAGAGCTTGGTGATAGTTGTGACCTATGAGCATTAATATTCCCTCTTTTCACACTATCCCAGAGCAGGTGTAACATCAGTTGTCAGTTACCCAGAGTTCTGTGAGCAGTGGTCTTGCTGGCGAGGGTGCCCAGTGAACTTAGGGCTCATTTTGAACTACGTGTTTCCACTCACAGTAACTGAGGCAGGCTGGCTAGGAAAAGGTGATCACAGTATGTTGAGCCATGGGTTTGGGGATAGAGATGCAAAGCACGAGATTCGTGATGTGAACCGCAATACTGAGGGTAGTGAAGGGTGAGGGCACAGAAGAGAGAAAAGCCAGCAGCTTCAGGAGCAGTGCTGGACTGGGCTACCTACTAGGGACGCATTTTGGCATCTTCTTGGTCCTCTTTTGAGGGGTCAGAGTCCAGGCTGCTCCTGGTGGGCAGCAGTAACACAGACTTATTGCAGGGCATTCCATTTTCCTACAAAAAAACACTATTGTCAAAAGACAAGGGGGAAGCCGGGCGCAGTGGTACATGCCTGTAATCCCAGCAGCTCAGGAGGCTGAGAAAGGAGAATCGCAAGTTCAAAGCCAGCCTCAGCAAAAGTGACGCACTAAGCAATTCAGTGAGACTCTGTCTCTAAATAAAATACAAAAAAGGGTGGGGGCTGTTTCTCAGTGGCCGAGTGCCCATGAGTTCAATTTCTGGTACCAAAAAAAAAAAAAAAAAAAAAAAGACAAGGGAGAGGTTGAAAGGAATAAGCTACTTCTAAATACCCAAGGGGTGGCATGCTGCGCACTGATATTTGGTGGAAGTGAAGGGTCCCGAGAAAGAATTGCTGGCATGTGTTCTTGACCTCAGCACCCAAGTCCATAGTGGAAAGAGTGCTAGATGGCATCAGAAAAACCCTGGTCTAGGTCCCAGCCCTCCCCAAATGGGCTCTGTAACCTAGGACAAGTCACTCCAACTCAGCCTCTACCAGTTTTCCTACCGGTGATAAGGTAAGGCACTAGCAGAGTGCAGATGCTGTTTCTCCTTCATTGGTGTTCATCCTTCCTTCAGCCATTGGAAGACTGGACTATGGTCCTAGGTAATTTGAGAACAAGTGTTCTTGAGCCAGAATGCTCAGACCCAAGCATGTGTGTGTTGATGGGAGAAGGGGAGAGAACAGCCACCAGAGGCATAAGTAAGGCTTCCCCTGTCCCCAGCTGAACTCAAGGATCCAAATAGCATTAAGAATGGCTACCACTTAATGCAAGGAAGTGGAACCAATGTCTAAGACCAGTAGGAAGATGGCTTTTAGAATAAACTGTCCCTAAACACTCACTCCCTTGACTGAGGAGAGAGTAGTCACATATGCACTTAGCTAACCACTGGATACAGAAGCAACCATAAGGCAACATGGGATGACATGACAAAGCCTCAACTTAAGGAAATCCCCCATACAGAAGATGGTTCAACCAAGAAGCCTTTAAAAGGCTTGCCCACAAGGTGAGCCCTTGGCTGGCATCTGGAACTTGTATTTCGAGAAGGTTACCATTCCTATAACTTGTAAGAGTGACTGGCAGTGCCTAAACTGTTTACACAGAAAGGTAGTTTCTACTGAACACGTTTTCCTTCTGAGGCTGGCACTTTGACACGTGCTAGGCAGAAGCTGCCTACATGATTAGCCCCCAGTAAAATCCCTGAGTGCTCAGTTACTAATAAGCTTCCCTTACTGGCAATGTTTCACGTGTGCTCCCACAATTCATTGGTGGAAATATGCTAATCATGTTCCATGTGACTATGGATAGATACTCAGAAGCTTGTACTTCTGGACTTTGCCTATGTGCCCTTTGCCTTTACTGACTGTGCCTGGCATGCTTTACAAACCACAATCATGACTACTACATATTGAGTTCTACAAGCCCTCCCTAGTGCAGTTCAGAACCCAAGATCAGTCTTTAGGATCCCTGAGATACACCCCTATTCTGAACTTCTAGCAAAGCCCCACTACCACACTGAGCTCCAGAACTCAGGTCATTCATGGATATTTCTGATTCTTTCACTGAACTCCATTCTCCCCTCCCAACCTCCACATCCATGCTCTGACCTTTATGAGTTTAGACAGATTGTAGGGGGAGGCTCTCTCAGGCAGCTCTACTGAACAGTGCCAATAAAGAAGGCACCAGATCATCTGCTCCTGTGCTGAGCCTTTCATTTTGAAGAATGGGATTGGGGCCAGGGGTGTAGCTCAGTGGTAGAGCACTTGCCTAGCATGTGTGAGGCACTGGATTTAATTCTCAGCACCACATAGAAATAAAAACAAAATAAAGGTATTGTGTCCATCTACAACTAAAAATGTTTTTTTTTAAAAAAAATAGAATAGTATTGAATACTTGCTAAGGCTCAAGTGTCCTGCTCACTCCACACAAGTGAACACTGACATCACAACACCAAGACTGAGGGTAATCAGACCCATGGCAATGGCTCAGGAAACCACTCTGGCAGGAAGGAATTCTAGACCAATTTCTCAAAGGGGGAAACTAAAGCTCTGCTGGGTTATATAAGTATTGCTACCACCTCTATTCAAGGCACATTTCTATCACCACAGTATTTTCACACACATCTCCCACCCACCCACCACATTAGATCATGAGGCCCCAAGGGTGGTGCTGTTCTCAGGGTTGAACAGATCTGACCTTCTCCAAGTCAGATGGCTCATAAGTAATAGGAAACAGTCTCCTAGCTCCAAGGGAATGTCCTGGTGTAGCAGTGACAAAGCTCCTTACTTTCCAAACCCCACATGCTTGAAGAGCATCCAGACTGGAAAGAATATGCACAAGGAGGGCCCACAAGAACACTCCAACCACCTGTGTGTCCCTTCACTGAGCTGTGTTTCTCTAACGCTGGATTTCTTAATTTCAGCAGGCACAAAAAGCTTCTGCTCTGGCCAGCATCAATCAGCTGACCATAAGGAACCATCTTCAAAATTTACCCCTTTTCTCTTAGTAAAGATTAGAAATAAACAACAGGACAGTGGTGAGTAAGAGAAATGATTTAACTTTATAAAAATGTGATAATACAGCAATATTTGATTTCTTTCCTTTTCTTTTTCTGGCAAGTAAAGTTTATAAAAACACCTGGAATAAAAATTAGAAACATAACCTAATAAAATTAGAAACAAACATTTCAAGGAAACAAGTCACTGAAAGACATAGAAAGACAAGGAAGGGACAACATTGAGCAGCTAAAGCAGCAGCTACATGGGGGAAGTTGGTTCGGTTATGAGGACAGAACAATCAAAGACCAACATGAACCTGACCTTTCATACCAGGCTAGGCTGAGTGGGCTAAGGATGGGCAGTAACCATCAGAGAGGCATGAAGGCTTCCCAAGGACCAGATCGATGGTGCTGGCTCAGTGGGTGTAGGGGGACATTGGCCTCCTGCAAACAGCCCACATGCAAGCCCCTCTTACAGGGCCTCTCAGCCACATGGCAGTGATGCACAGCCAAATCTTGAAGAATTGGCACTGTAGAGCTGGCTCCTCCTCTGCCCACTTGTTTCTAACCTGCAGTTCTGCAGGTCACTATCCCATAGTCATGAGCTCAGTGGGTAGAAACACATCGATATGTCAACCTAAGCTTGGGAGGCAAACATGCCAGGGAGAAACCAAGAAATCTGGACATCTAGTGCTACATACAAAATACTTTTTGTAATGTCTGCACCATAGCCAAAGTGGAATTAGGACCACCTTGGAGAGGCAGGCCAGGAACGCCAGGCAACATTCCCCTAGAGGGAAAGGGCGTCCCAAGGATGCTGGGTGAGTTCTTGACTACATTCTGAGGTAGTCTAATCGTGACTTGCACAGGTAGCTGAGAATGGTCACAAAAGATGGAAGGAGGGAGGGCAGAAAAGTTGCCATATAGATAAAAGACTAACATATATAACGGAAGGAACTACGCTACAAGTGGGCTCAGAGATAACGAGGATGTAACCTAGGCTCGGGGTGGCTGGCAGTAGGGCCCACATGGACCCTGGGCACATACAGCTCTTATACTACTCACTGCTGCAGCAGTATGGCAGGAGATGCACAGAGGGATTTCCTGGCCCCAAGCAGTGGCAACTCTGAGATGAGGGGTGTCCATCTTAAATGACTAACCCCCTTCTACTGACTCTTGTCATGAAGGGCTTGAACCAGAGAGCCTGGGAGCTTTGGGGCAAGGAGTCCCAATGTTCCCTTCAACAGGACTCCTCTAACCTGAACATGTCTAGCGGGAGTAATACTGTTAGACCTTAACTTGGAAAACACAAGGTACCTGCAGGTGAGGGAGCAATCAGACCCTAAGCCACCACTGAAAGAGAAATAACAACAAGCAAAGGTGGTGTTAGACACCCCCCATACTCTATTTTTTTTAATGCTAATTTACAGTCTTATTCTCTTCTGCCCTCCAGCATTCAGAATTCTAAGACAGGATGGAATGTTCTGAAAGTTTAGGAGGCAGCAGCTGTGTTTAGATGTTAGTATTTTCTCTGCTTTCCACATTTTCGTGAACGTCTTCTAGGACGGAGTTCACCAAAGTCTTCAACTTCATTTTCATAATCATCTTCCTGAACAATACCTAAAAGGAACAAGAAAAAAAAACAGGAAACAGAGACAAGGCAAAGGTGATTTTTCCCTTATTCCACTGTAAAAATAACATCCTAGTAAAATATAATATTTCTGTAATCATTTTATATTAAAGAAATGAAGCTTTCTATTAGGGTGCCGCCAAAGTGAATTTTCCTTTGCGTACTGATATTGCTTCCCAAGAAGAGACAAAGTAAACACCCTTTTCCAGAATAAATTCTTTTTAGCTGGTTCCTCTGGCCTTTCTAGAAGCCATTTAAGTAGCAAATCAAGCAAACTCAACCATACCCTTGAGTTGGTATGCTAATTACCTTCCTTTTGAAACAATCACAAAATTATAGTACCCAGAAGGAACTATATGGTAAAGGGTGGGGTTTTTTGTTTGTTTTTATTTTTAATTGGCAGAGATATTTGTGCCAAGTCCCTTCAAGTTTTCCCCAGTGCTGGGGTCTGGATTTCCCAGTAGCATCTGGAAGGGCATTCAAAGCTGATGAAATCCTCAGAGCAAAAGGAAGTATGGTCCAGCTGGGAAGGGGCAGTAATTGGAATGGGCAAGAGGGAAGACACAGTGCATCCCACAGAACTTGTCAAGAAATTCTGACTGCCAACAAAGAATCCTGAATCGCTCTTCTCAGTCCTGTAACCCTCTATAGAAAGATGCTGCAAGCTTCCCCACTGGTTTTGTTTTGTTCACAAGCATATTTCCAGAACCACACAGCACTAGTATATACTATATGCTCAGAAAATATCCACAGATTTGTGTGTTTAATTAATTAAATTTTGGTACTGGTGATTGAACCCAGGGGTGTTTACCACTGAGCTATGTTCCCAGACCTTTTTTATATTTTTATTTTGAGACAGGATCTTGCGAAGTTGCTTACGGCCTCTCTAAGTTGCTGAGGCTGGCCTGGAACTTGCAATCCTCCCGCCTCAGCCTCCTGAGCTGCTGGGATTAGACATGCACCATCATGCCCAGCTATATCCACTGATTTAAATGAATGATTAACAAAGGCAAATATTTTATCAATGGATGGTTTTACAATACTTTGCCTATCCTTGGCCTTCACTGTATTGAGTATGTGCAGTGACTGAACATCATTAATACTAGTCCATTAGCAGAAAAAGGTTTCTAGCAACTAAAATGGGCCCAGAATAATGGCCTTCACAGTCTGATGGGGAAACTTTAATACTATGTTGCTAATAGTTTTATTACTGTCATGATACTTCTAGACAGTGAGAAGCGGCTACTGATAGCGGAGGAAGCCCTACTTCACATTCACTGAGGAGCCAGCAGCATCAAGAACCAAGGGATCCTGGCTTGGGCTGGGGCTCAGCAGTAGAGCACTTGCCTAGCACGTGTGAAGCACTGGGTTTGACCCTCAGCACAACATAAAAATAAATAAATAAAATAAAGGTATTATGTCCATCTTTAACAAAACAAACAAAACAACAACAACAACAAAAAGACAGGATCCAAAATGTTACCTGTCTGTGGAGAAAAGGACTCCTTACCTTCATCCCTTAAGCGGAGTTCTGTTTTTGTCAACCACTCCTGTGCATCCTTGACTGACAGGACCAGAATTTTGACCAGATGAGTCATTGCCTCCTCCGCTGAAGAAACCAAGGAACAAGGGTTCTGAGTCAAGAGGCTGTTGCAGGAACCAGAACACCATGCACTAGAGCCAAAGTGCCCATGCCCAAGAGCTAGTATGTCTGCTCTTTCTCTGAAAAGAGGCTTCCTTACAAGGTAAGGGACCTAAAGCTGCCTTTTGCTGCCACAAAGCTGCCTTTAATGCTAGCCCTATGCCATTACTGTACATCTGCAGAGACTGCCAATAACAAACCCTTCCAGGAAACTTGCGCTCGAAATGTCATTAAAACTTACACTGAAGAGAGTGTCTGAATTATAGAAGATTTTAAAATATGCAATTTTGCTAATTTTATACATAACTTCCACCCAGTATTGCTAAGAAATAGCTTATAAGAAAGCTGGAGGACACTTGATTTTAAGACCACAGAGGAGTTCTCATTATTCAAAGCCCACACTGGAATATGACTGAAGGGACCCTCCTACAAAAAAGAAACCAGCTATGCACTTCCAAATCTTACTCTAGGGTTCTGCACATAATAGGTGCTCAAGAAAAGAGCACTGAACTAATGAATTGGGAGACCCTAAAAGAGTTTTCTCAAGACTTTAAACATTCTTTCTATATCCTCTCCGCATAATTAGTTAGCAAACCGTGTTCTCATCTAGGGCCAAAGATAATCACAATTTTTTAATTGGGGAATGGGTGGCCCAAACAATGAGGTTTTGCCATAATTTGAAGACAAAAATTCTTATATTTCCACTAATGCCAAGATCCCATCACCCCCAAGTTGGCCCTCACTACAAACAGCATAACTCTGAGTTGTCTAACATGCCTAACACCGTTTGGGCCCCATCTCCACAGGTTCTTACCTCCAGCCCAGGCCTTTCGCCTGTAGAGGTCCTCCACCAAATCTGAAACCCTCTTGATGTGCTCCTGGACCTTCCTCTGCAGCATGTGGCTTTGCTCTTTAGAGCCCAGGTGACTACGGATCCACACACTCTGCTCAATGTCCTGTACTACCAGTTTGCCTTCATCAATGGCTGGGTCTACCTTCGCATGGAAAAATTCTGAGTATTTCTGGTAAGCCACCTGCTGCCTCTGGTGGGCTTCTAGGCGGATGTGCTGCTCATAAGACTCGCTGGTCCTCTCCCGACACTCCTTTCCTTCCAGCTCAGCCCTGGAAAGGACCACAGCCTCTGAAGCCGCTCCTTCAAATGCTTTGCTGGAGCTGAAGTAGTTCTCAGGGCTCCGGGTGAACTTCACCCCACACAGATCACACTGGGTCCTGTCTACATCAGCCCTTTTGAAGTTCCCAACCCCAGGCTCTCTAGCTTCCTCCCTGACACGTTCGGTCTGAACTCGTCTCCTCCAACTGATGCAGACAGACACCACCAGGCAAGCTCTTCTCAACTTGCGCTGGATGGAGGCCTTCCGCTGCTTCTGCGAAAGGATGGCAGCCAGGAGGTGGTCTCGGTCTTCCAGTGCCAGCTCATCTGTCTCATCCTGACCAAACTCACACTCGGGTTCAGCAAAGTAGTCCACTGGGCCCACACAGAGTAAGCGATTTAGTTTGACCTCCTCATGACAGAGGCCACGAACCACAGACCCTTTGGTGTGCACACTGTCCCACCGCCAGTGACAGTCCATCAGGTACTCTTCGTCTCGCTCAAAAAGCAGATCCTGGAGTGCCTCGGCCACAGACTTCACATTAACAGCCATTAACACTCGCCTCACCACCTTCCGAAGCCTCTCAGGGACCTGATCTGGACAGTCCATGCTCATTAGCTGCAGCCTCGTCTCAATCTCCTGGAAGTGGCGGTACAGAAGAGGCTTACAGAATGGCTGCAGAACCTCCTCAGCATTCACGAGCATCACCAAGCACAGCACCAGTGTCCGCTCCGCCTCACCTGAGACCACATAGTCTATTTCACTGAAGGCATCAAGCAGGACATTGAAGTTTGCATTCTCATAGCCACATAGCACCTTGACGAGGTAGGATAGGTGAAATCGGAAGTCCTGAATGGCTCTTGTCACATCCTTCGGTTTGTAATCCTGAATGATGGAGAACACGTCCCCAAGCTCTTTGTCCTTCTTGCTGAAAAGGAACTCCCAGTAGTGCAGGAGTGCAATGTAGCTCTTGGGGAGGCACAGGATGGCGTTCTTCCAGAGGCGGGCCAGCACCACCCCACAGTGGATGAACTGGAACTCCAACAGGGCCACTGTGTTTCCAATGCTGGGGATAAGTGGTTCTTTGCACCTCTTGATGAGGACGTTCATGAAACGGAAAAAGAGCCTCTTGTAGTCTTCTGGGTTCCTGTACACATATAACTGGTCGATGCAATTCTCCAGCAGCCGGATGAAGCAAAGATGGGTCTTCTCTGCACTTTCGTCATCCTTGTTGGGTACCAGCATGCCAAATTTTCCTTCTATTCCTTTCATCCTGCTGCTTCTCCCCCTGCCCCTCTCTTCTTTCTCAGACTCCAGAGCTTTCAGTTCCCTGTTGTAGTTGTCCTCCTCCTGGTGGAGCAGCTTTCCAAACTCCTCTGGGTAGCTGGAGGAGAGAAGGAAAGCCTGCATGGCGCTCAGCCACAGGTCTGTGGACTCCCGACGGCTGCGTGCCCTTTCATTTTGAAATAGAGAGTGGATGTACTCTTTCAAGGCAAACCTGTAGGATCGGAATGATTTGTAATTTGGTTTGAGGATTTCTTTGCATGCCATGGGGTTTTCTGACAGCACTCTCTGATGGAAATGCCTAGGGAAGAGGACATTTAGAAAGGATTTGCAAAGGCCATATGTATCAGTAGACAAAATATAATCTATTTCTTCAAGCTCTTCAGCTAAGATTTTAGGAAATACTTTTTTGGCTTCTAAAAGCAATCCATTGATTGCCACCAGGTGCATTTTCGACTGAACCAAACACTTGGCCTCACAACGACGCAAAGGCCTGTGAAAATCTTCACAGTTTTCATCCTTACATTTTAAACCTACAATAAACCTCGCACAGATCCCTGGGTAGGTCTTCCCAAGCAGGCTCTGTGTGATCTTACACAGCCTGCTCAAAAGGTGTTTGTTGAGGGCTAATTTCACTTGGTCAGTCATTATCAAGAAATGATCTTTCGTTTTCTTCTCTTTCAAGTTCAAATCCAGGTCAAAAATTATTCTTAATATGGGTCCAGGGTCGTTCTGAGCTATCTGGCAATACTTGGCATCCACCTGGGAAATTCCAAAAAATTCAAAGCAAGATTTGACCATTTCCTTCTCAGCATTGTTAGTTACTCTCTTAAGGGCCCTGACCAGGTTGAGAAGAACTTCCAAGCCCCCTGGAGCCAGGGCCAGAACCTTCTCAGGCTCAGCCTCACACTGACTGGCTGCTTCGTAGAGTGCTTCCACCACTCCAGCTGAATGGTTGAGTGTGTCAAACTTTAGGATGGCATCTTTGAGCTTCTGAAAGTCTCTCAGAATTACCCCCTGCAGAAATTGGGCCTCTGCAATGCCAGACAATTGGCTGGTTTGATAGCAGAGATCAAGCGCTTCTCTTAGGATGGCCTTGGTATGCTCTATGTCAGAATCTCTGGCCACATTGAGGCGGGCAACCCCCAGCAGACAGGAGGCCTGGAAGTCCTTGTCAGCCGTGAGTCTGGCAGCCTCCAGGAGGCAGCCATGTTGTTTCATCAACAGTGCAGCCTCTTCTCTCCGACCTTCCCTGTTCAGCAGGTCTGCAGCTTCTGCTAGGCGTTTTCGAGACTTAAGGAATACCAGCTGGTCTTCTATGTCTAGCTTTGAGAGGACAGCCATCATTTCCTTGGTCTTATTTGCACTCAGGTACTTCGCTGCAGCTTCCAAATAAAATTGACTGGCAGAATATGAGAGCTTGGAAATAGGAAAGGTCTTGGTCTTTAGCATTTCTTCATACCTGAAAAAACAGGTCATGCAAATGTCAACCTGTTATCACTCAACCAATAGGAATTTCCTTCAAAATATAGCACAGAGTAATTTAAATAAAACTCCCACATGGAGATATTTTTTAAAAGACCTAAACTTATCAAGCATTCAAGCATTTTTATAAGTGCTTCACTATATAGTTATCAGTATAATAATTATAAATAATAAAATCTTCTTTCTTCAAAGAAATCAGGCATTAGTATGCATAATTAGTGAAATATAGTGCCGTTACAACTCAAGCAAATAGGAATGAAGTTTGAAAGCCAATCTATAGGGCAAAATTCATACACAGTCAAAATTATCCTTGAATAAAACTCCCTTCGGCTCTGATAAAAGCATGATAATTATTTTGAGTATATAACTCCAATAAACTTGAAGGCAATTAACAAGAAAGGACGACATGGGTGCTATATACACATCAGCAGTCATACCAGTCTTCCTCTTATCCAACGCATGATTCTTCCCTCGCCAGGTGTGCATGGATTCATGTGGGACTAGTGAAGCTCTGATGGGTCCTCCTTTATTCTGCTGATTGAGTGGGTATAGCCTGCTATATACACACTCATAACAAACCCTTCATCTTCTTTGGCCCCCTCTCATGAAACTGTGTCAAAGCTTATCAAGAGTGGAAAACAGTCTTAGTCTCAAGGACTTCCTGACTCAGTACCAAGGCTGCACTCAAGTTGGAGGAGGTCATTACATCCCAGGCACTTCAAAAGCAGCAAGATAATACCACCCAGGGCAGCCTGCCCCCAGAGAGAGCAGGAGAAGGGAGAGAGATGGGAAAGAATGAAGACACTTACTTTTCCACTGCAATAGCAGCTTCCTCAAAAAGCTCCTCTTGGCAGTACATTTTGAGTGCTAGATCAAACTCCTGAATCTGCTCAAAGCATCTGAAAGCATCTTTGTAGCACTGACTTCGCTTATAGAAATAAGCAGCATCTCTTATCTGGGACAGAGTAAAATTTTACCTTTATTTGAAGTATTCTTAACTTTTTAAAAGAAAATCAGTATGTGTTGGACATAGTCAAGAATGAAGGGAACATAAAAATCTCATGCACAAAGTGGTATGGCCATTCTGGAAAGGCACATGGTCACACTTGGTAGTGTGGATGTCCACTCCTAGCAATACATGCTATAAAAGGTTCATACAGTACCATGAGGAGATGTGCCGCCCCATGGTGCTGGAAAATGTGAAAAACAGAACAAGATTCTATTTAGATACACTTCTTCAATAACACATGCATTCACGGACACATAATATTAAATCTATTATTAAATGGAAACTGGCCATGAAGAGGAAGAGAATGAACAAATAAAATGCAATGATTGGGCTTTGTAACAAACAAGGTGGGTTTGCCATGAACAGAAACATATATTTGACTCTCCTTCTTACACTTATCATCTAGGCCATCACCCAACCCCTCATTTCCCAGCTATGACCCCATTCCACCACCTCCACCACCATCATGTAGTGTAAACTCCATCATCTCAGACTACGCTTCTAACTGGCCTTTCCACTTCTACTGCCCTCTAAAACTCTCCACAGAGCACTTAATAATTGTTTCATGTCACTTCTCCACTCAAAACATTCCCATTTGCACTTGAACAAAGTGTGGTCCTACCACAGGCAACAAGTCCCCACATATTCTCTTCCTGCCACCCTCTCTTACTCATGGCACAAATTCTACCCTCCTCATTATACTCTGGCCAACCAGGCTTCCTTGCTATTCTTCAAACTTGCCAAAATTCTCCCACTTCACAGTTTTTGCCTATAAGAGTCTGGCTATAAGGTCTGCCAGCAGCTGTCCTCAGAATTTCTGCTCAAAATTTAGCTCTCTGACCCCACTATCTAAAATAGCAAACCCTTCTCCCCTCACATGTTTTATTCTTCTTAGCACTCATCCTCACTGACATCTCACATACTATTTATTTATCTATTTATAGCTCTCCTGCACAGGGAGATGGGGGGGGGAGCTCTGAAAAGACTGAGCTCTCTTCTCTATGGTCTCCTGTTCACAAAGCACCTGGCACACAGTAGGAGGTCTATCTGCTGAATGTTTAATTTCAAAACTGTACTTGCTGCATCTTAGGCTCAAAGAGAAAAAATAAAAATGAAACAAGCAAAATATATGTGATGATCCCCCCCACCAAATCTCATCTTTAATGAGATAAGATACATGAAGTGCTAAAATAAACAGATACAGATGCGAGTTTCTTCTACATCCAGAGACCTCATAGACAAGGGAGCTTCTAGACCAATCTCAGTCACACAAACAAAACCTTACAACCTCTACATTTAACCACCCCTCTTTTCCTCCCTTGTCAATGCCAATTACTCAAGAGAAAAATCCATGTGTATACATGAAAGCCTACTGGATGTCAAGTGTGTGTCCAATAGGAGAGATAGAAAAGAGAGGGCTGGCTTTAAGTGGCAACTCCCCCTCTGGTTGTCCTGCTTGGAGGAGGCTGTACCTCCCATTCCAGAAAGGGTGCAGAAAGGTTTCCAGGGAAACCAACACTGCTTCCTGAAGAGAGGCAGGACACAAGCTAGGCACAGGAAGCTCTGAATGGAGGACTTACACTCCCATAGCACCCATACAAACACTTCTTCCCAGGGATAGAGTTATGTTATGCTATGCTGTGTTATGGCTTGGCTTGGATATAAAATGTCTCCTGAAAAGCTTATGTGAATATTCAGAGATGAGATGATCAGATTATGAGAGTTGTAACCTAATCAATGAATTAATCCATCTGATAGATTAGTAATTTGAATGAATTACCAGGTAATAATTGTAGGCAAATGAAGTGTGGCTGGAAGCGATGGTGCCAGCCAACCATGGACCAAACCTCTGAAACAATGTGCCCCAAATAAACTTTTCCTCCTTTAAGTTGTTTTTGTCAGGTATTTTGGTTGCAGCAGTGAACAGCTAACTGGCACAGATAGCATGCATTTGGGAACTGGGAATAGGAAGACAGTTGGGCCTGATGACTTAGCAAAGGCTATTGCCAAGGTGGTCAATTTTAATCTTGCTAGTCAAAGTGGGGAGATGATCACAATACTGGGTGAGAATTGAATGACCTTCCAGGGATGGGGGGCCTTATCAAAGATAGGAACCAGATTCTTCACTGAATAGATTTTAGAACTGCTGGAATGTGCTGGAAAGAAAAAGTAGAAGAAGACCTAGAAACCAGACTTGGGCAAGCAGAAAGGTAGAAGGAAAGCTGATACCAGGAACAGGATACCCTCTACACTTTGAGGGAACTGCAGTCCTGGAGAAGGCTGTGGGGGCTACACTTATGATCCACTGGTCTCCCCTACCCCCACTGTCAGAAGCAGTGCTGGACAGGTTAGGCGATCAAGGTGGGTCAGGCTTGGCAGGTTCTGATAGGCAGAAAGGAAAGAGTGTAGTTACTGCTCAGAGTTCAACATAGTGGCACTGACAACTGGAGAGCAGAGACTAAAGAACTTGAAGAGGTTGGAAACTATTCTAGTTCCTGGAATATATGACCCAAAATTCCACCCACACTGAAATGTTTTCTCCAGTGTCCCTCCCTATTTTGTCTCCATTTCCCATATCTTGAGAAGTCACATCCTATAATAATCATGGAGCAGGGAAGGCAGTGTTAGTAAGGCCTTCTCTTCTCAGACACTGACTTTAGGTCACCATTCAAACTTCCTAGTAGGTTCTACTACTACCCCTCCAGGGGCCAGGGTACTCTGAGTATCCTAGGAATTACTGCATTTGACAAAGACATGGAAACCAGTCTTTCTATTGGAGGATCATGAAAACTGACACAGGGGAGATGCAACAGCTCAATTGGACACTCTAAAGCACATCTCCAACTCCTTCTGGTAAAAGACCGATTGTTTTTAATTTCTAATCCATCACCACTGATACACTGAAAAATGAACTGCCAAGAAAACAACCACCACTTGGATGTCCACAGCAACACCAAACAGCTATAAAAATCTCTAACTGCTTACTTCCCTCTTCTGTATTAATCTTGCTTCAGACAACAGTCTGCAGCCCACTGCCAGCTGGTTGACTCTCCATCAATAACTGCTCCTGACTAGCAGTTCTGTCCAACAGGACTTTCTGCAATGACAGAAGTATTCTATAATAGTGAGCACTCACAATATGGCTAGTGAGACTGAGGGTGTGAATTTTTTTTAATTGTAGTACATTCTAATTAACTTAAAATTTAAATTAAATAGCCTCATGTGGCTGTTGGATTGGACACAGCAGATATAGAGTAATTACCAGAGACATAGAAAAACCTTCATGTTAACACCAGGCCACTTGCCCAAACAAACCTCAGACTATGAACACAGGGAAAGAGAAGGCAGGAATATTCAATACTCATCTGCCCTGTGATTTAAACGTTTGGCTTCCCTTGGATAATATCAGGCCTTGAATGTTAGCACAGACATAGATACACACACACACACACACACACACACACACACACACACACAATCTTCAGAGCCTTATAAAAGCTTGAGCAGGTAGAGAAAGAAAAGGGCCACAAGCAGAGGTGAAGGGTCACATCCCCCATTCTGTTCAAGTGAAGCCCAGTTCTCCCAGGAGCAATTGGAGGTTGGAGGCCTTACCTTTCCCAGCCTCTCACACAACTGGGCAGAGAGCTGGAACTCCTTGGCATAACTCAGACACTTAAGGGACAGCTTTGGTTCATTGCACTCCAAATAGGTCTTAGCCAGTTCCAAATACTCCAACTGCTTTTCCCTGGAGGAAGGGAAACAAAATAGTATTTCCATACACTGTTGATCTAACACCAATATATTTAACCTGCTGCTCTCATCAGAGCAAATCTGAAATGATACTGACACATTGCTAGTCAAACTTACTTGGGGCTAACTTTCTTGGATTTCATATTCAGGGCAGTGTTATGGGCCAGAGCCAACTTCTCCTTCTCAAAAGCACCTCCTTTTTGGTAACACTTGGCTGCAACCTGGAATAGGCAAAGGGGTTTGATTCTCAGAAAACTAATGGAAGTGACACAGAACAAGAGTTCAAGTATGCATTATATGGTTAGATTGATAAGGCGCTATACCTTACTCAGCCCAATGTGAGAAGCAGGAACAGAAAGGTACAGTTACGCCAAAGAGAGTAACCTCAGAAGATAAAGCCCAACAGTGTACCAGCCAACACATTCAAAATCTTATTTAGGAAGTATCCGGAAGCCATAGAAAAGATGGATACTATTACTTTTTATAGGCCACCATAATGACGTCCGAAGTTTAATTTTCCAATAGCCATGTGCAAGAGGTATCCTTGCTACATATATCAACTTCAGGTCAGAGCCAGGGAGCAATTGGCTCAAAGTCACCCTGTGCCTTTTCTGGGCTTTAACACAGCTGCTAACTACAACAGCTATACTATGGTGCTGGTGAAACAATCACAGTATGTGTACTAGGAACAGAAATAACAAGATATTTGGAGCATGTGGATCTGTTACCAAGCTCACTGTCTAGGAAGTGTGCAGGCAAGTGTCATAGGGGAGTCAGTCTGCACCCCAATCACTGCCAACAGAAAGCTGCTTTTCTAAAACAACAATGCTCATACCATGTCTCAAAGTGTAGGCTACAAGGGAAAGTATTTGTTGAATGATTCAATCTTGTGTGGTAGTTCTGAAACATTCATGACATGCAGCCAGAAACTCAATAAACCACCTGAGTCCTTTAGTAGGATCAAAATAAATTCAGGTGAGAAGAAGTTTTTTTATAACATTCTCATCTGTGATGGCCTCCCTAAAAAGATTTTAAATTCAAACATTCAAAAGTATTTTTGAATGGGTAATACCAAAGAGTTCTGAGGGGAATAAAGGGAATTTTCCAATATAATCCAACACCTGCTGCCCATCTTCTCTCCTCCTTCCCTCCCTACCACTCACCCTCTATTTCACCAAAAAAGTTCTTGGTTTTACAACAGGAGCCAAATGTTCAGTATTTCTTTTCAATTATAACAAGGATAGGCAATGAATAAAGTTTTAGGGCTTGATCAATTTCTACAGCTAAATAGTACATATATTTGAAACTGCCTTCCAGACAAATCAAACTTACAATGGTGTAAGTTTTGTTTTCTCACCTCATGTAACAGATTCCAAGAGTAGCCATAGTCCTTCACTCCACCCTATCTCTGCCACATCCTTTTATAGTGTAACTTTTCAGCTTCAGACTGCTGCCTATCTCCCCTCCCTTCTCATGTGGAAGGGACTTGCTTGGACAGCAGAAGTCAGCAGAAATGACACTTGTCCGGCATCAAGACCAGGCCTCAAGGGGCCAAGTACTTCTGCTCACCTTCTTTGAACCTTGGCCTCCAATGAACAAGTCCAGACTAGCCTGCTAGAGGATGAAGGAAAGATGGTCTAGGAACCCCAATGACCCCCTCACCTGTTCCAAGAGCTAGTCAACCCCAGAACTACCTAGCTGAGTGGAAGCTGAATGCAGAATCACAAGTTGCCCAGCTGAGACCAGAAGGACAACCCACTAAACTCACACTGTGAACCACAGAACTGGGAGCAACATAAATAACTTGTTATAACCAGTAAATTTGGAAGCCATTTGTTATGCAGCAACAGATAACAAATAAACACTAGATGTGAATTATTTGCTGTGGACATTAACTATTTTTCCTTGCCACAGCAGAGAAAGCTCTTCTAAGAAATGAGACCAAGGAAACTTTGGGAATTCCTTCTTATAGGCATTCAGACCACAGACAGCTCACATCATGGATTCTGGTAAGTTCTGGCTTATAGTTTCATGTTTCTTATCACTTCCTAGTCCCTTCACTTAGGCCCAGCTCCATGAAATTCTGGTGAGAAGAGGATTATTAGAACAAAAAAGCCCTCCAGAGAATCATCATCTCAAAACACTTCTTCAGAAATAGCAATAGAAACTGCAGACAGTTTTCCTGTAACACATGAAGAGCTGGACCTTGCAAACAGGAGGGGGGCGTGTGATAGTGAGATGTATGAGGAAGGCCATTGACAATTTCATGATTTAAAAAAAAAAAAAAGGATCCATAAAAAGAAGGTACCTGCCCTTATTCCTGTTTGGGTTGCTACTGAGGGGGTTGGGTGCTTGGACTCACTGCAGCATACGTTACTCAAACATAACAGGGAATATCTCTTATGAGCTACAGATGACACAAGAAAGATAAAGAATAACATTGGGCCCATGTTTATTTTGTTGAACTAAAAAAAAAAAAAAACCCACAACTCTTCTAGCAGGGTGTTTGTGACTTGCAGGTGAAGATACCCTCACCACTACCTCCTGGAAGATAATGCCATGGTGCCCCATCTGAGACCCTGTGAGGTAGAGGAATGCTGACTGTGGGGAAAGTGATGGGCTCCTTAATTTGGTTTCAATATTTCAAAAGGTCCACTTCCTTTCCTGAAGGAAGGCTTGAAGCTGGAAGTGGATCACAGTTCAGTCTAGTGACAAGTACATCCTTGCTCACCAGACTCTCACTGGCAGTGCAATCAATATCTGATCAATTGGGAAAAACAAACAAAAAAAAAAACAATCTGTTACTGCTTTAAAATAACAACAAAAGCTTTTAAGCACAGAGTACAAAAAATAAATAAAAGGTTTCTCTGGTGGAACAAAGGCCATGACCCTCCATTTACCTATCAGCACATGTTGATACTTGGCCAAAGGAAAGGATTTTAAGGTCTGCCTTGACAGGGGAGGGAGACGGATAAGTAGCTCTCCTCATCTTCAGGTGACCTAATGTTTAAGAACAAATGGCACAAGCCTGTTGATACCTGTGATGGTAGGAAACCTGCCTATGAGGCATGACAAGGCTAGTAGTCACAAAGCACCCTGACCACTGGTTGCTGGTCCAGCCCCTTACCTTCCAGCACTGATGCTTGGCATAATACTCTCCTTGGGCAATCCACTCCTCGGGAGTTGAGGTCTTAACGAACATGCTATCATCAAAGTCTAAAATGAAAAAGAAAAGCAGGTTTGCTTCTCTGAGCATTCATTCACTCATACCTGTTATTGTGGGCTGTATTTTGTGTCCCCCAAAATTCATTTGTAGAAGTACTAAACCCTACTCTATCAGATTGTAACAGAGCCTTTTAAAAAGTGATTAACTTAAAATGAGGCCATTATTGTGGGCCCTAACCCAACCTGACTGATGTCAGAAAATAAGGACATGCAGAGACCCCACTGAGGAAAAATTGTGTGAGGACACAGCAAGAAAGCAGCTATCTACAAGACAGAGGAGCCTTGGAAGAAACCAGCCCCGCCATCACCTTTCTCCTGGACTTCTAGCTGCTAGAACTGTAAGAAACACATTTCTGTCATTTGAGCCATCTAGCCTGTGGGATTTTGTTATGGCAGACACAGCAGGCTAATACACCCATGTTATCTTGCTAGTCTTCTTTTAAGATATATTTTAGCTTACCAAGCCAGGTGGGTATGGGTTTCAGAAGGAAAAGGTGGAGGTGAAAAAGAATGTGGTTTGGTTTTTTAAATATCTGCCTACTTTCCTTTTCTATGTCTATGAATCAGAAGACAACAGCAATTACTAACTCCTCCTTGAAAAATCCAAAGCCACGTAGCTCTTTGCAAGCTCCCAGGCAGGGAATTTAACAAGGAACAAGGTAATGGGGTATTACAGAACAGATACAGCTTGACTTGTGATGGTTATATCCTGATAAACCCCATGGTAAATTGAAATTTGAAAATATCATAAGTTGAAAATGTACTTTATACACCTAATCCATTGACATCATGGCCTAGCAACACGGTGTACTTTAGAGTAATTGATTGTTTACTCTTGTGATTGCATGGATGCCTGGCAGCTGTAGCTCACTGCTTCTACCCAGCATCACAAAGGAGTGCTATACCACATATTGTTAGCCTAGGAAAAAAAATCAAACTCGAAATACAGTTTCTACAGAGTATCACTTTGCACCATAATAAAGTTGAGAAACCCTAAAATGAACCACAGTAATCCAGGAACTATGTGTATTTCCCAATGTGTAGACTTTGTCCTCATCATAGAAAGCAATGTGGCAAACTCTTGTTGCCGGACACACGCTATTCTAAGTTCCATGTTAGCCTGTGGTGACTGTATCAGTCTTCCCCCAACAAACCCCCCAAAGTATCACTAGCAATGAGCAAAAACTCACAGCTTCTTGAAGCATGAGAAAGACAGCGCATGCTAGGACAATGAAGACCCAAATCAGAGCTGGGGTCAGAGATAACCCAGACCAATGAATAGAAATCAGAGAAGTAAGGCAGATAGGCCAGATTTTTTTAGAAGGTGCAATAACCGATGAAGGCTTCAGAGCCTGATCCCTATATTGCTTTCTCTCTACTATCCACTGTGGCACTGTGTACAGATAACTTCACAGTGACTTGTTCTGACTCCACATATGCTATTACTGTCCTGGTGAGATTTTATTCCCACAGCAAAACCCTGTATTACTTCTGAACAGGGCCAGTGAACTCTGCAGGATTCATGTTGAAGAAACATAAATTGTAAGTTGCCATATTCACCCAAACTTCTCCTGCTCAGGGGAAACAGGTGTTCTGAAAGACTTAACCATGTGCAACTATAACTCATAATTAAGACTGTACTTTTTCTTGCATTCCTATGCTACCAAGACATAAATTATAATGCTTTTTCATTTTGAATTTTTAAATTTTAAAAAAATGCCTATGTTGATATTGTGGGGTTAAAAGGAATATGAGCTGCAGGAAAAATTGAGAATGACCATGCTAAAAAATTGAGAATGACCACTCCTTTTCCTTTTAGTGGAGGAGGTAAAGGCCCATGGAGAGAAATTAGGGTCTAAATAGGGTCATGTGACTACCTGAGTGAAGAGGTTTTAGGAGAAGACAGGTTTTCAAACTCCATGTCTTTGACTTTTTCCCTCACACCACAACAGTCAGATCCTTCCAACAGAACATCTAATCCTGGTACCCAACTGAGCCATCAGCAATAACCAAAAATAGTCTCCACAAAACAGCTAAGGAATGCTTAGGACACAGCAAACTTCTCCACAGTAGCAGAGCCTGGTCCTTCCTCTACCCTTAGAGAACTAACTAAGTCTCTAGACGAGCTGACTCAGCAACTAGCTCTCAAAAAAGACTAACCTTTCTCCTTCATGAAGAGCTGATTACTTCTTTACAGCTATCTCATAAGGACATTTTGACTTCATTTTTTAATTATCTAGTCTTGGTAAATTATGAAGATAACACATGATAATAGTTTTTGTAAGTCCTGCAAATAGCATAGAAGTCATAAAGATGAAAGGTAAATGGTGTCCCCCAGTCTTAACAGCAACAGTAACTATTACAAATGGCTGGTGTCCACATTCTTTCTCTCTCTCCAAACTCTCCTAATTTAGATTCCTGCAACCCATAACAGGAACTGATTAGATGCAGATTAACTCTGATGAATCCCTTACTATCTGAACTCTTCATTCTCCTTTTGTGAAACTTGGGAACTTAAAAGATGCAGACAATCCATTATCTCAAAGTCTCACAAACCCCACTCCTAACACACATATTCAGAAACTGAATTAGGTTTGATAGTTAAGGACACTAAAATAGTGTTTGTATACACATACACACACACACACACACACACACACACACACATAAATAATGGTTCTATGCTATTATATACTGATTTACATATGCAGTTTTTATATTGGTATAATGTAAAATTCTTTAAAAATTTAATCATTCTACCTATACTGCTTTAACTTTTGCTTTTTTTTTTAATCTTGAATAAACCCTGAACATCTTTCCATATCAGTAAATGGAAATTCATCTTACTTTTTTTTAATGGTCACATGGAATCCTCTGAAAGAAACACACTGGATACTTAGGTTTGTTTTTAGATTCGAGTAATTACAAACAGGGCTGTGCTATCTTTATGTTGATAGATATCAAAAGCTCATAGCAATTTGTAGTCTCCCAATAGGACCTATTTCTTTCAACCTCTGTCCATAGCACTCACTTTTTTTGTTTTGTTTTGTTTTCCACAAAGTTTGACATTTATTGTTTGGCCACTTAGTGTCAGTGTTTTTAATTTGGCTTTCTGGTTTTTTAATAAATTTATATATTTATTTATTTTAATTAGGTATATATGACAGAAGAATGCATTTTTATTCATTGTACACAACTGCAGCACAACTTTTCATTTCTCTGATCATAGCACTCACTTTTAAAGGACAAATAAAAGATCTTCCCTGAATGAGTTAACTCTCTCAATTTCACCACAACCATACTTTCCCACACACCTTAACAAATAAGTAAGGGCTCTCTTTTCTCAGATCATGAAAAGGGAAGGAAGTGTTTCAAAAAAAAAAAAAAAAAAAAAAAAACC